ACATTATTGCAGCTTGAGAAAAGTCATGGTGTTGCATCCTCGTGTTTGCTACGGTGCTGAGGCTGTCAGGCCATGTTTCTGTAATCTGTCTCTCGCAAACAGTAAACACTGCCTTGCTGCTGGTTCCAGAGACCTTCTTCTGTTGGCTTTTCTTCAGGATTCACCACCCCGTGTCAGGCCCGATCACCACTTCCAACAACCCAGAATCACCCATACTCCTACTTTTCATCAAACTTACCACCACCCCTCCGTCATGTAGTGGAGCCAATATCTCTTTATTAAATCTTGATTGATTGATTGATTATATATGATCTCTTATCGTACCGTACCGTACCGTACCTACTGTGTATTATTATAAAGGTATAATACATTTGTATGTTAATAATAGTTATACATCTATACATATATATATATATATATATATATATATATATATATATATATAGACAGATAGAATGGAATGGATGAGACTCCAATTAGGATATATAGGTAATAAATAGAGGGGTGGCTGATAATATTTGTGGGACAAAGAATGGATGTGTTGAGTTGAGGTGGTTATATCAGTTTCATTATTATTAGTGTGTGTGTGTTTGTGTACGAGGAAGAGAGGTTCACAATCAACAAAGATGAGCGATTCATGTATTGTATTATGGGGAACTTCATTACTAATTACTACTTAGCTTAGTGTACAAAGTATATCAATATCTTTATTTTTACCTCTCAAAATTATAAAATAAAATTATTAAATATTTGATTTCACATGTATCATTAATATAATTAATTACTATAATATTAAATGCATATAATCTTTCTACTGTGTGTTTCAAACACTTTCATGTACACATAATGTACGGGTTTATTAGGGATAACCCCCTTGTTCATATTTTCTAATGAGGTTGATCCAATTTTTTTTCCACTTTTTGAGATAGACCCAATTTTGCCAACTTGGCAAAATATATTATATAATTTCCCTTTAATACCCTTGTTTATTTTTAAACGGCATTTAATTCCTTTAATACGTGATTTGAGATTTGCTGATACGTTGCCTAAAATCACGGAATAATATTACGTGAGATCATTGGCCGTTATACCAAATCGTGTATAATATTTTCGGAGGTTCTCTTTCACTGTTCCAGGGGATTTTTATCTTTGAAGATTTCTGCAAAGTCGTGGAAATAGGATCGAATTGAGCGCTCATCTGTTGGACGTTATTAACCGGGTATGAATGCGTTTTTCGATTTATTTTTCGTTCAATGGCTAGGATCGTCGTGTATGGTGGTTAGAAATTTTAAGAGGTGTGTTGATACTTGATTATATTATGTAGAACTTTTTTAACAAAATTATTCCGTCATATATACATCGTTAATTTTTGGCGGATGATGTTTGTTCGGAAGAGGATTGACAGAGTTACATAAAGATTGTTCACGCATATTGGACCAGAGTTATTTTATATGAACGTCGTAGTTGGTTTACGTAGTAATTGAAATAACTGTCCGCGGTCGTGGAGTTCATGTGTCTGATCCCGGTCGATAGTTGATTTATTTGTTTATAACAGCGGATTTTAGGGACTCTGGGGTAGTACATTAAAATATACTTTTTGTAGTCTTTTTTAAGTTATCGTATGAATTTTTGCATTTTAAGTTTATTTTTTATCATACTAATATATTTTTTAGTATTTTGTATTTTTAATGTCGTATTATGATTCAAGGTTTTATCGATGGCGAATTTTGTACGGATTTTGTTGAGATTTGGTGGGTTGGTTGCTATAAAGAGGTGTTCGAACGGGTTTACTCGCGGTTCATTGGTTGCATTTGTTATTTCAAAGTGGGCGAGAACTCGATGGGTGGGATATAAGCATGACATATAGGCTGGAAGGCGTTGGTGAATGTATCTTGGCTGACGATGAGGACATGATTTCGAGGTTTGGTGGGTTGGTTGCTATAAAGAGGTGTTTACGATGTAATGGCTCGGTAACGTTGGTTAAGTGCTAAACCGTTGTAATACAGTAGTATACTATTATGAATACCATATGATACTACCATTATCATTTTATTATACTATTATGAGATTATTAATGTACTAGAGTTTTTTAACTCGACATATTGGTTTGATTGTGTTATGATGTGTTTTAAGTATTTTATCAAAACCCTAGATTGAAATTATGAGATTATTAATGTACTATTTTATTGGTTATGTTGGAATACTTTACGTTGGTTTTGTTCTCAATGTTCTTGTCATTTCAGTGGTGTATTGTTTGTAACACAATTTCATATCACTACTATAACCGTAATATACTATCATAGCAGATTAATGTACCATATTGAAATTATTAATATACTATGTGGTTGAATAATACGGGATCCATAGTCGATTAACGAGATCCATAGTCGAATTAGATCAATGAGATAGTCTATTACATGATATACGGAAAATTACCCTAATTGATTAGTATTTCAAACAAACATATTATTCAGTTTCCATTTATATTATTATTTTTTCATATATATTATTATTTACCCTAATCGTTTTCATATAATAAGGAAAATTACCATAATTGATTAGTATTTCAAACAAACATATTATTCAGTTTCCATATATATTATTATTATTATTATTCTAGGGGTTTGATGATTTTTCGGCCCATAGTCGATTAACGAGATCCATAGTAAAATTATACCAGTGGGATAGTCTATTAAATGATATGGGATAGTATATTAACACAGATGTAATTCGACTATGCATCTCGTTAATCAACTATGGGCCGAAGAATTATCAAAACCCTAGATTTGAGTAATCCTAGATTTGAGTAACCCTAGATTGGAGCAGTGACAGCGGCCCATAGTCGATTAACGAGATCCATAGTCAAATTATATCAGTGGGATAGTTTATTAGTATATTGTCGGTTTCGCTGGGCCAAATTTCGTGAGTTTGCCAGAGATTTGCTGCCCAAGTATTTCAAGCACAACAATTTCTCCCGTTTCGTTCGGCAACTGAATACTTACGTGAGCTTTTGCTAATCGAATCCTTCGATCTGTAACGAGGAATTTTGGTTTTTTTTTTTTTTTTTTCGGTTATTGATTGAGTTGCTTATCTGATGATTTTTTAGGGATTTGGGAAGGTTATGCCTGATCGGTGGGAGTTCTCCAATGAATGCTTTCGAAAAGACGAGAAAATGCCGTTGTGCGAAATCCAGTGCCGGAAAATCGTTACGACGTTGCACCACAGCGGACGGTGTCTCCGTCGGACTCCGGCGAGGAGCAAGTACTTTCCTCATCTAATTTATCCGGCACCGTCCGCGAGATCCGTATAAATTTCTGGTTTTGAGAGGTTTGCAGATTTTTTGGTAGTGGGTTTGTGGGGATAGTGTTTTAACGGGAAAATAGGGTGGGATTTGATATTATTTCAAAAGGTAAAGTAACGTGATTTGTGGGATTTGATTGAGGGTACTTATGTAATTTAGAAAAGTTTGGGTTTTTATCAAAATGGCAAATTTAAATTTTGGTCTACCCCTATTATTTGAATGTCTAAGGGAGTTATATCTAATAGACCCCATAATGTACAATGCTACAAGCACAAGATGTGTTATTTCTTTGATTTTGGCGAAGTAAAGTAAAAAATAATAATAAAATGTATATGTGATATAATAAATTAAATTAAATTAAATACTCGTTAATTTGCTCATAATAATTTATAGAGGTGTATTATAGTTAAGAGTAAATATTAAAGAGGAAAAACAAGTATTAGTGGCGTGTCCACTCAGAGAGTCGCGATTCCAAAACCCTAGTGGAGAGTAACGCCGTAGAGAGAGAGAGAGAGAGAGAGAAAGAGAGAGTGGTAGAGAGAGGCTCACACCGCGTCCACTCGGAGGAAACTCACGATTCCATTCTCAAACCCTCGACTCGTTTCTTTCTTCCGATCCAATTTCATTTTATGTTTTAATTTCTCCCAAATCAATCTATGTTTTCTTCGTCAAATTCTGCAGATTCAAACACCTTACCATCATTCAGGTTCGCTGCAGATTTTCAGTTACATCTTTTTAACTTTTCATATTCTCTCTCTCTCTCTCTCTCTCTCTCTCTCTCTCTCTTTTTTTTTTTTTTAAATAAATAATTTTGATACCTGGTTCTAAAGTAGTCTTTTTTAACTGTGATTTTGAGCTAATTTACTACCTCCTACAACTGCAACTGCATCACCGATTCTTTGCTAAGTTCCTCGAGTTTAGTTTTAACTTGAAGTGATATTTTCTCTGTTCTGCTGAGAAGCTTTTTGTTCTCTAAAGAAGCTGCATAGTCTACTTTTAAGTTTAAACTCCACAGTAGCTAGACCCTATACCTGATGATAATGTTCTTTGTTTGCAATTTATCATTACGTGTAATGTAAAATTGCTAATTCCGGTGACAAAAATAATTGGGTTTTTTGAACTTATAACTGCTCAAAGGTTGTTTCATGTAATTCCTAAGTTGCACTGAATATCAGAGATGACAGAATATGCTATGCAGCTTCTAAAAGAGATATTCAGATTGCTTATTGTTTAACCGTGTGTTACTAAGAAATAGAAACTATTGCAATGTTTTGAGCCTATTCTGATTGCTGCAGGAAAGAATAGAGTAAATGGTCTGAAGATGGCCTCCCTTCGATCTTCTGGATATGTAGACCCAGGGTGGGAGCATGGTGTTGCTCAAGATGACAGAAAAAAGAAGGTGAGATGTAATTACTGTGGCAAAGTAGTTAGCGGTGGAATTTACAGGTTGAAGCAACATCTTGCCCGGCTTTCTGGTGAAGTAACTTATTGCGATAAGGCTCCAGAAGAGGTGCGTTTAAAGATGAGGGATAATTTGGAGGGGTCCCGAGTTGGTAAGAAATCAAGACAAACTGAGTATGAAGAACAGTCTTATTTGAACTTCAATGCTACTGATGATGTAGAGGAGGAAGAGAATGTTGGATATAGGAGAAAGGGTAAGCAGTTGTCAGCAGATAAAGATTTGGCGTTGAACATGACTCCACTTCGTTCATTGGGATATGTTGATCCTGGTTGGGAACATGGTGTTCCTCAGGATGACAGGAAGAAAAAGGTAAAATGCAATTACTGTGAGAAGATTGTCAGTGGCGGTATAAACCGGTTTAAGCAACATCTAGCAAGGATACCCGGTGAAGTTGCTCCTTGTAAGAATGCTCCAGAGGAAGTATTTCTCAAAATAAAAGACAACATGAAATGGCATCGTACAGGTAGGAGACACAGACGGCCCGAAACTAAAGAGTTATCTACTTTTTACCTCAACTCAGAGAATGAAGAGGAAGAAGAGCAAGAAGAGGAAGAAGGTGCAGCATATCCTATGGGTAATGATAAAATTGTACTTGGTGGTGACAGAAGATTCGACAGAGATTCGAGAACAACTTTCAGAGGATCGTCTACTTGTAATGGGTCTGAACCGTTGTCGAAAAGGCCAAGGTTTGATGTCAATGCTCTTAGGACACCCAAAATTCAGATGCCACTATCCGGGAAACAAGTAAAAACAGGTTCCTCCAAGAGGTCCAGAAGAGAAGTCATTTCTGCAATATGCAAATTTTTCTATCACGCAGGAGTGCCTTGTCATGCAGCCAACTCCCCATATTTTCGTAAAATGCTGGAGTTGGTCGGTCAGTATGGCTCAGATTTTGCAGGACCTTCAAGCCATCTACTATCTGGGCGGTTTCTACAAGATGAGATCTTGACCATCAAAAACTACCTTGAGGAATACAAGTCTTCTTGGGCAGTTACAGGGTGTTCCATTTTGGCAGATAGTTGGAGAGATTTTCAGGGCAGAACATTGATCAATATTTTGGTTTCTTGCCCTCGTGGAGTATATTTTGTTTGTTCCGTTGATGCAACAGGCTTAGTTGATGATGCAACCTATATATATAAATTGCTTGACAAGGTGGTGGAGGAGATGGGGGAGGAAAACGTTGTGCAGGTAACCTTTTTTTTTTCCTTTTTAATTTTTATTTTTCTCTTTTCTATGATACCTTATTGTTCCCACCACAAATAAAAATAAGAATAAAACACCGTTCTTCTCCTTCGACTTTGACTGTAGGTAATCACTCAGAATACACCCAGTTATCGGGCTGCTGGTAAAATGCTTGAAGAGAAGAGAGAACATTTATTTTGGACACCTTGTGCTGCCTATTGTATTGATCAAATGTTAGAGGAATTTATTAAATTAAACCAGGTGCGAGACTGTATAGAGAAAGGGCAAAAAATTACAAAATTCATCTACAATAGGATCTGGTTATTGAACCTTATGAAAAAAGAATTTACTGGAGGTGAGGAACTGTTGAGGCCGTCAGCCACTCAGTCTGCTTCAAGTTTTACTACATTGCAAAGTTTGCTAGACCACAGGATTGGTCTTAGAAGAATGTTTCAATCAAACAAATGGATTTCATCTAGATTTTCAAAATTGGATGAGGGTAAAGAGGTGAAAAATATTGTGATGGATTCGTCATTTTGGAGGAAGGTACAGTTAGTTAGAAGGTCAGTAGACCCTATAGTGGACGTACTGCAAAAGATGAGTAGCGATGAGAGTCTGTCAATGCCATTCATCTACAATGACTTGTACAGGGCAAAACTTGCAATAAAAATCAATCATAATGATGATGCACGAAAATATGAACCCTTTTGGAGTGTGATTGACAATCACTGGAGTTCACTGTTACACCACCCACTCTATCTGGCTGCTTACTTCCTCAATCCTTCATACCGCTATCGTCCAGACTTTATTCTGGTAGGAGAACTATTGTCCTTCTGGAAAAAAAAATAAAAAAATTTAAAGATATAAAAAAGTTGTTTTTGTTTGAATTTATAGGTTTTGCTAGCATAACAATAAAGTGTGCATCTTGTTGTTCCAT